CACAGCATAAAAGTGAGGAAGATGTTGGAGATTTGCATAATGTCTCCGCCATTATCTCCCCCTTTTTTCGCTCTACTAATCCTTTACATAAAATCGCATACATACATACCAACTGTGTAATTAAATGTCAATGCTTTGTGTTTTAAATGTTTAACAAATCTCTGCTTTACTAATACCTGTTTGTGTTTTGTTATTTTATAAATAAAAAATTATTTATGTATATTTCTGTATTTTTTTTTTTTTGGTTAGGTTGGCTATCGATCACTTCGTGGCAGTCACAGCATTTCGGATCTAAGTCTGGCTGGAAATGCGGATAATACGTCGAGATCAGCGATAGCAGGGAGTCGTTATGCAAAGACAGGTGAGTGGATAAAATTAGAAGCTCGGATATGTATGTAGTTAGAGAAAAAAGTAACAACAAAAGTAAGAATAAAGGAATGTAATCGAATCAAAATAACGTTTCGGTTTTGGTTTCGTTCTTCAAATTTAGTTTCGGTTTTCAAATAAAAATATGAAAACCAGTTTGACAAAAAAGATTTGTTATTTAAGAGAGAATCAGCGTTTTCCGATAGAAAATTATTGATTTTCAAAAATTCGATACCATTTCTACGAAAAGTATTTTTTTCCCATATAAAATACATGGAAAACTTTCAGCGCTCTGAGCGACATCTAAATATTTTTTGATTTAAAATTGAAAAAATTGGGTTTGGGTATTTTTTCGATATAGAACAATCCTAGGGAATGATAGCCTTAAAATTCCGACTTTACTTATTTTGGACCACCCTATTGCACAGGCACCTTTCTTTAATTAAATTTCTTTGCAAACGCCCTAATTTGTAGGCCTTTAACCAGAGTAACAAATTTCATATGAATCCCACGAGTTATCAAAAATTTATTAGATACCCATATTGGATCCGCATTTTGAGTTTTAAAAATTCATGGTCAGATTTATAATCAGCGACCCCAAAAATACAGTGAGTAACCAATTTCGACCGAATTCAATAAATTTTTAAAAACTTGAGTTTCAAAACACCACTAATCATTTAAAAATAAAAATTTCGGCGAATTTTCAAAAATAAGACCGATTTTTTTTTCTGTACAAATTTTGAAGAGACGAGGGCTTCAGATGGCAAAAAATGTCATAACACATGTATATTAGGATGGATCGAAAAAACGAATCTTTCGATTTCAAAATTCTAAAGTTGCGTAATATTGAGCCGTGTTAAGCCATTTTTCGATCGGATAATATTAACGGTTGTCCAAAGAGCCTTCACGTTTCGAAACATCTCTCAAATTACGTTTATTTTATACTTTTTTTTCTGAAAAGAGTTTGAGTATGCAGTATAACATTTTAGTACATACATATGTATAATAATGTGGAAATTTCAAGTTGCTAAAAAATCGCGTTGATTTTTGGCAATTTTTTATTTTGTTTTGCTGGCAGTGTGTTCCAAAAAAAAAAATCGGACATTCTTTGTGTAGAAAAACTGCGTGGTACTCTCAGTAAAAAAAAAAATCCAAAAATTAATGATATTTTTTTCATACTAAAATTTAATGGGCTACCACACTGCTTACTCAAAAACCAAAGGAACCATAATTTGAGAGATTTTTCGAAATTGTAGGGCTTTTGGTGCGACCGTAAATATTATCCAATCGGAAAACGGTTTAACGCGGTTCAATGCGATCATATACGCAACTTTTCCGCACTATTAGAATTTGGAAATTAAAAATTATATATTTTTTTTGGCTCCACCCTAGTACAATCATGGTAAAGAGGCAAGCATTTAGTAAGACGAACTTGGTTTTCTGTTTTTTCGGACTATGATGTGCTGCGCAACTTATTTGCAATTGCATTCTTAAAATAAACTCAAATTTGAATTTTTTTTCTCTTATTTTTGTTTTTTAACCTTAGGCGTTTATTCCTTGTAAAAATAAGAATCCTTTTTGCGTTCGTAGTAGTTATAGTCCGAATAAATTAAATAAATGAGTATAGTTCATAATATTTTGATATCTAACATTTGTGTATGTATTTTCAATTAATTCCAATCCATACCCAATAACTACTTTTTTCTCTGTGCTTTACTTCTTTACTTCCCCTTGAAACATGCTGCTTGTAAATTAAAATACTTGGAACCAACTGTATTGCTAAACAACTACTGCTTTCCTTTATATATAAAAAAAAATAAAACCTGTATGCTTTACAAATACTAATCGAGTAGCTCCTCTTAATGAACCCCAACAGTACGCTAGCTATTATAATACACCACCACCATCCTTACAACAACAACAACAACAACAGATGCCGCCATATACACAACAACAAATTCCACCGACGTCGCAGCAACAATACCAACAAACACAGCCATACCCACCTTATCCGCGCTCACCCTTACCGCAATCGTTCGATCAACAGCAGCAACTACAAGAACAACAACAACAATCACAGCAACAGCCACAACATTTCTTCAATTGTGCTGCGCCACGTTCGGTAATGCAACAAAGCTGCCAAGCTATGCGTCAAGTACAACAACACTATCCACCATATCCGCACCACGTTGGCGTGCACCAAATACACCCACCGCCCGGCGTGCCATTTATGGCGCCCAATGCGCGCAATGTCGGGCCGCAAGCATCCACCGCCACACAACACATTGGCAAGCAAATGGCGACCGGCAGCTTCAATAGCGCAACTTTACCCGCGCACGGCCAGCATACGCGCGTCAAACGTAATCCGGCAGGCAATGCGCGCCGCACGCCAAGCATTCTAAAGCACTACAAGTCGTGTCCGGTGTCGCCGGTGCACGAAGAGGTCGAGTGGTCGGCGGATAATCGCAACAGCATCATTATTACCGAACCGAAGCGGCACTCTGTGTACGCGGAAGATGCGCGCACCATACTCGATATGATACAAGCGGACACGGAGAAGATGATCGAGGAGATACAGAAGAAGTATGGCGATTTGGATGATATCGGCGTGGATTTGTATGATGCCAAATTGGGCGGACGCTATTCGCAGCTGGTCGCGTCGCAATCGGTGCCAGCGTGTCTTTCGCCGCCAGTGTTTGCAGCAGGCAGACAGCCGCCCATAGCGCCCACTGCAGGACCGCACCTAACGCACACTTTGCCATATCAGATGCCCTCGCCCGGCGCTGTGACGCCGCCGAAACGCGCTGTGTCGGAGTATTATATCTATCAGGAGTTCTACCAGTGCCATCGAAATGTTTCGCTGTCGGATATTTTGGCGCCCGAACAGCAAGCTGAGACGCGACGCATAGAAGATGCGCGTTTTCTTGAAACACAACGGCACTCTAGCGCCAGTTTCTTCCTCACGTCGCAGTTTGGCGAGCGTAAGAGTCAGGAGTCTTTGCTGTCCGATGAGTATCCGGATGAAGGCAGCTACTGTAATAGCATGGAAAGCGTACTCTCCGATGAGAGCGACTGCAAGAGCGCGCCCATGGAAACGCAAGTGCAGCGCCATGCTGGCATACGCAACTTCATACTACACGGACCAGTGAGCGCTGCGGCGGCAAGCGCCACGCAACTGGTGACCAAGTCGTATGGCTCGAGTCCGAACGCTTATGGCAGCTTCGATTACTACATGCAACAGCGCAATATGCAGCACTCGCCGTTGCCTTATGAGAGCTTTGATATGTCCAGTTACACTTTGGAGAACCTCAAACCGGAGAGCGTGCGCCTGAAAGCGCCGCCACAGCAAAGGCAACTGCCAAGTTCGAAAACATATCCCAGAATCGCCGATTCGCCCAGAGCGACGAGTGGCGGCACAAAAGCGGAAGACATACCCACGCTCAGCTCGAAGAATAAGCAGTACAACTCAGGTGTCAACAAGAGTCTGAGTCAGGATTTTGCACAACAGCGCCTGCAGCGCACCACTAACCCAATGCAAATGGAGCGCAGCGCTTACGAGGATAAGCTGTTCGCGAAGAAGGTGGTGAAACCGAAACCGCCAGTGCCAGCAAAGCCACAAAATCTCGTCTCAACGCTAACGTCCACCGTAGAGACCGCGCACGCTAGCAGCGCGCCAAAAGACACCACACCAATGTACTGCGCTTTCGATGTGAACACCATGGATGTGCGCTGTCAGTCGCGCACCGCCAGCGTTGTGCGCAAATTCGAGCGCAATCTGCAAAAGTTTGAGCGCGAGAAGCAGGCAGAGCTGCAGGCCAAAAAGGCGAGTGGCATGCGCCCCTCCGTCAGCAGCGGCGCGCTCACCACGCATAGTTGTCTCAAAAAAGTTTCTAAATTCGACACGAACGACAAGAGTACACCGGCATCACGGCGCGCCACAAGCATGCGCACACGCGGGCGGCCCAAGGTGGCAGTGCGCTTCAATACAGTGTCGCAAATAAAGTACACGCCCAGCGAAAAGCGTTCGTCTTCATGCAGCAGCGGTAGCACCGGTTCTGCTTACTCTGCGGCGGCGGCGGCGGGTGTGAGTGAAGCGTTCGCTACCGCCACATGTCCACTAAACGATATAGTAAATCACAACGCTGAATCACCACCGCCAATTGTTGGCAGTCTACCGAGCGATTATGGTGGCGAGCGTTCATTCGAAATGTACATCGCCGAGAATGGCAACGAGCATGAGAACATGAATATGGACAGCCTGAAGTTGTATACGAAACCCGAGCTGCAGGCGGTGGTCGATGAGATACAGCAAGAGCGCGAACGCGATGCCAAGCATAAAAAGAATATGACCAATGTGGAGCGCACAGCAGATTCAACTACAAGCAACCAGTGTAAAAATATTGCCAAGAAAATCGATATCATACAAAAGTTAATCGAAATGGAAGAACGCAAGCTGGAGCAAATACGTATAGCGACAGAATCGCGCATGCGCCCCTTCGAATGCAATTCCAAGCAGAAGGGTTATGTGAAGAGTTTGACCATGAATTTCGACATGCTCGCCAAGGGTATCGAGAAGGATATCGAAAATGAGCAGCGTCGCATACGCGCCGATAGCAGTGATGCCGATTTGTGTGCCTACGCGCGTCACATCAAACGCAATGTCAGCCTGCCGGATGTGTTGGAACGCTCCGATCTATTTGGCAAATCACCACCGGCCGGCCACTCGTCGTCGACAGACGAGGATGAGGTTGAGCTGGCGAGGGAGGTGAAAGCCGATTCGGATGTTGAGGAGGCGGCT